ATTAGTTGATATTCGCTTCAGTTGTTGATATTATCAACTGCTGGATGGTTGGATAGTATACACCGATATGGGATGGTGGTATACTAGGGACGGTTTGGTTTCAAAATACCAAAACCTACCTACTCTGGATTAATGAATGGATTAACTAAAAGTTAAATCATATGGATTTGTAGTGTCATGGCAACAACTAGTTGAGCGGCACTACTATGGATTTTGGATGGATTTTAAATATATTATTATTATGGTACCTTGATATGAGCTTGAGTCTCAGGATCGATGGTTAGGGAGCGTATATGCGTTGGGATGCATAGCTGGATACGATGGTTGGAGGTGTACCCTGTTTAGGCCTAGGTATACATGCTCACTTCGTGTGCGTTTTAGCATGTTACCTCTATTCAGGTTGAGACCGACCTGTAGTCCAGTGAGAGTCCTTTAGTGTGACTATATATATATATATATATATATATATATATATATATATATATATATATATATATATATTTATGGACTATTAGCTATTATTGAATTGTTTAGGGTGTACATGCATATCGGGCCTCTGTTTAGATTGTAGTAGTATAGAACTTGCGCGTGGGCCTGACCCAATTCTATTTTTCAGATGCACAACAGTTCCAGACTTAGACATGTTCGTGCTGAGTAGAGGTTTCTACTCACTCTACCGACGATGTAGGATTTCTCTCCATAGCTTAAATCAGGATGTTTTTTCAGTTGTTTTAATTCAGTTTGGATTTTTATTAGGGGTCCACTAGAGATGGATTCCAGAGTTGTTAAACTTATAGAGTTTTGGATTGTCAGATTTTCAGTATGCAATTTTTAAAGGAGTTATATTTAGTTTCTTTCAGCTTAAAATTTATTTCTTAATTCAATTTGTATTCTGTATTCATTATAAAATATTAATTGTTTGATATTTCCCTCAGGTTTGGACTTAGGCCTGATCAACCCGAGTCTAGGATCCGAGGGGTATCACACTAACCCAGCCAAATAAGAGCTTAATTAAAGCAATTATGGGATTAAACAAAGAAAGGAGTAAAGTGGAGAAAGAAAGAAGCAAATGAAGCCAAAGGTGGGAAGCAGCAAAGTCCGATCGATCCAACTTCAAGGTTCGATTGATCGAACACTGATCGATCTCAGTATTTCAAGATAGATCCAAACCTTGACCCAAAGCATAAAGTCCAAAGTTCGATCGATCCAACACCACCCTTCGATCGATCGAACACTTTTTGTCCTTATTCAAATGATTGATCTTATCCACAACTGTACCACCTACTAACCACTTTTGTCCTTTTCCTAAAAATATCTCGGATTTGTCTTTTCCCAAAAAGCTCAACCAGTTGGATCGATCCAGCCTCAGTTCGATGGATCTCAGCCAAGTTCGATCGATCCATGTCCATGGTTCGATAGATCGAACTTCCTCCAATGCGAAAAAGTTAAAAAGCCAGCTTATTCAATCCGTCCTCTATCCAATCATTAGAGAATATTATTTGCATGACCCCAGCTCATTTTGTGTGTCACTTGACCTACCTATAAAAGGAATATGATACACTTTTTGAGAAAAAAAGAGACTTAGCATTTGAGATATACAATTCTAGGGATTATTATCAAATGAGGCAAGCTTAGAGGAGGAGGAGGCTAGAGACACCATTGGAGTTCTTCATCACCAAGGAGCAAATTTCTTCTATGGAGTTAGCCCTTGAGGGTTGGACCAACATCACCATGAGTGGCTAGACATCCTCTTGGGGCTAGAGTTAGCCCTAAGCATGCTTCCTATATCTTAATCTTGTGTATTATTGAGGGATTAGTGTTGTAATTAATGTTTTGACACTTTGATATATATAGATCTTGATTGTTCAATGATTTATGTGGTTAAATGCTTTCAATTGATCATTTCATTCTATCCATATGTCTATGTATGTTAGAATAGATGTTCATATACTTGTCTCTAGATTTTGTATTATTGATGCATGTTTATGTGTATTAATGCTATAGATTTAGAGATTGTCAAAATATAGTGCTTAATGGAATGCTCTTGTGATTTTCTTGATGGTTCATACTCATTCCTTGATGGATTGTGCCTCTCCCTTAGTTTATTTTCATGCTAGTAGTGTAGATGTAGTGTAGTTGTAGTGTAGTGTTAAATGGGAGGACAATCCATGCTTGTTGCTTGATGATCTATGCTTTTGAATGCAAGTAGCATATGTCTCTAACCTTGTGTTGTATTTGGATTGTGAGCTTAATGAAAGGATTAATGACTTGTTTTGATCTATTGTGCCTTTCACATATTGTTTAGACAATATATGCTTCATTGCTTAGATATATTGTGCCTTTCACATGATGTTTAGACAATACATGCTTAACTAGTCATCCTTACTTATTGAATCAACCAAACACACACACACACATACACCAATATTGCAACACACCATTTGCCCTTATTAGTCACTAGTCAATGGTATAGAAATGCATTGCTTGGTGGTGATCTCTAAACCCCAAGACTCTTTTCTCTCTTATTTGTTCTTTTGTTATCACTTAGTTTAATTTAGTTGTTCTCCAGTCTAATCAACCAACCAACCAATTGTTTGATCACTCGACCTACTAGCCCTAATAGCGATTCCACAACCTTGTTCAGCCCTCACAATCCCTTGGGATGATCCCTACTCGCCCTAGCTATATTTATAGTGAAAGGTAGTAGTGGCTTCTATAAATGTAAAACTCTTGGCCCTCGCCTAGAATTCACACTCTCCAAACTTGATGGTAGTGCGATGAACCGGTCAAGTTGTGACTCATGGGATTTTTAGGAATGTGATTTAGGCTTTTTCTACTGAGTTGTTGAGCTCACCCTATTATTATTAACATTTTTTAGAAAGTCGGAGGTGAGCCAGTGAATGATATGCATCCATGGACATTAATGTAGTTAGGAATTCATTTCATTTATATCAAAGCTATGTAATTTTGGCCTTCAAGGCCTCATTCCTTGTATTTAACCCTTTTGAAATTGTATAAAATAAGATTTGTGTACGTAATTCAGTCTTTAAACGATGTATTAGACTCGTATTTAGTTTAATTGAAGGCATGGGAGCTTAATTATGTTTCACACACTAACGAATTCATGATTTGGGACAGGTTTTAAATGTAATTAAGGTCATCAATGGACCTAAGGAGTGCCTACATGTATGTGTCTCAGTTTAAGACCTTTCTGGGTAAAAATTTTAGGTTCTGGACTTGGGGAACTGGTACCTCATCCTAGAACCAGTTCAAAGGGTACTTAGGTTCATGTTTTGGGCATTCTTCCCATGTGGAACCGGTACCAAGATTGGGAACCGGTTCCAGTCCTCCAGTTGGCTTTTTACCATTCACAGTTTTATTAGCTTTGATTACTTAACTTCGGATGGTCATAACTTCTTCGTTTCAAACCCAAATTGGGTCATTCTTGAATCCATTTTCAAGGATTTGAGTTAGCTTTCCAATGAGACCAACCTCATCCTCAAATTCCATTCATGTTGAGAGTTATGGCTATTTTAGTGGAACAGTGTCGGAATTTTCCTTGAACCGAGTAAAGGGACTTTTGGGAATTTATAACCGATGATCGTAGAATCTCACCGAGTATCATGGAATGACTAGAATAATTGTTTTTAACCTCATTCGACTAGTTTAAGGATGGATTGATCTCTCATATTATAAAATGACCATTTTACCCTTCGTGTGTCATCGGGTTTGGTTAAGGACCCGATTAACGATCCAAACCCCTGGTTTGGCTCGTTACATCACCCCCACCCCTTCTTGGTTTATCAACTTTACTTCAAACATAGTAGATCATTTCGGGTTTGGGTCGTTACATCACCCTCACCCCTTCTTGGTTTATCAACTTTACTTCAAACATAGTAGATCATTTCGCTCGAGACTGCGTGACAGTCTCTGAAGTTTTTTTGATTGTTGGATAATTTCCAACTAGATTCCCTCATTACAGACCTGGTGTCTCTCAAACTCTACTTTACTTGCATTTATTTTTTCTTTGTTATTGATTAATTTAGCTTTCAATTTGGGAAATTTTCTTTAAGAATAAATTTGGGTAAGCAACATGTTACACTTATTCACCCCTTTTTAAGTGTTTTTCAAACGGTTTTTCACAACCTCTTCCGCTATGCAACTCACAAGATGAGTCAAGTAATCAGGGGTAATCATTACATTTTACATTTTAATCGTACACATCAACAATGACCTATGCGTGGAGTTTAAAAACAACTGATCTAATGGTAAAATCACTTTTCGTGTGAAAAATAAATAAATAAATAAATATAGCGAAACAAAACAAAACAAAACAGCCATTAATTCTGACTAAGGGTTTTATAGCAATTTTTGACCTAAATTTAATCTGAAAATAATAAAGGCAAATCTAAGAGAGTGTCAGACTATTCTACCAATAACAAACGTCAAAAAGTTCTATAAGAAATTTTTATTTTATTTTTATTAAGGTAAAAAGGAACCTGAACCTCTGACAACCGAGAGAACAATTAATTGGATTAACTTGACACTAATTTAAAATAATAAAATTGCGTTCCGAAATTTAATCAGTTTTCAAGATTGACTCTGACAACCGAGAGAACAATTAATTGGATTCACTTGACACTAACTTAAAATAATAAAATTGCGTTCCGAAATTTAATCAGTTTTCAAGATTGATATTTTTTTTATGAACCTGTGCTCACAAGGTATGGACTATGGAGAGACCTGTTAAAGAAATTCTAGTACGTAATTACAATGGGAGAAAGAAATTCTAGTAAATTATAAATGGGATAAAGAAATCCTAGTACACAATTACGGTAGGAAAAAGCTCAAAAAAATTTATTAAAAAAATAGGACTAATCAAATGTTTGACCACACATCTTGTCTGGGTGTTTGTCATTGCAGAATGTAGATAGGTGGTAGATATGTCAACTAATCTATGTGACCCTTAAATATAGAGGGAACAAAAAATATGAACTTCAAATCAATGAAATAGTAAAAACATAGGGACCTCAAAGATAATGTCACCTAAAATTAGGCTGGTGATTTTTGTGGTGTTAAACTTCTCTTGTCACTTATAAATCAACCCCATTTGATTCAACCCATCGTAGTTCACATATTGATCATCAAGTCTAAGAAAAATCAAGAAAGAAGTTAAAAAAAAAAAAAAAAAAAGAAGAAAAAAAAAAAAAACGATGGGTTCGAAATCTATCCTCAGAGCTATTTGCTCATTGTTTTGGATGTCATTAGTCACACAAACCAAAGGTGCCAATTTTAACGTGAAAAAATTTGGTGCAAAGGCTGATGGCCAGTTCGATGATGGCCAGGTATATAACTAGTTAATATCCTCTTCTGAGTAATTTCAAGAGTATTATATCTGTAAATTCTGCATGTGATTCCTTTGTTAATGTTTGATATTACTCGGTCTTACCTCCAAATACAGAGAAGCTATTTTCTATATATTTCGGATCCGTTACCTTCATCTTACAATGAAGCAACCGTAAATTGACCGCCTCCTTGTTAATCTAATAATTGAATTCTGTAAATTAATCCCTTTTGTGTTATAAATTAGGCTATCATAAGTGCCTGGAAACAGGCATGTCAATCAACGGATCCAAGCATGGTTGTCGTCCCAGCAGGGACCTACATGGTTGGTTCAGTGAAGTTCCAGGGTCCGTGCAAGGCACCGGTTACTATTCAGGCTCAAGGAACTTGGAAGGCTCCATCAGACATCAACAAGCTCAAGTCACAGGATGGTTGGATCATTTTCCAAAATATTGAAGGGTTGACAATCTCAGGAGGTGTAACCTTTGATGGTCAAGGAGCAATAGCTTGGCAGCAAAATGATTGTGCCAAAACTGGAAAATGCAATTCATTACCTATTGTAAGTCCTAACAGTTCATTTCATACCATATAATCATATCTTAAGTAATATTTTAAATTCTAATTAATTTCTGTTATATTAAAGTGACAAATTAATTGTTCTTTTTTTTCTTTTGATTTAAACTCAAACAGAACCTGAGATTCAATCAGGTTAAGAATTCTGTGATTAAGGACATAACTTCACTGAACAGCAAGTTGTTTCACATGAACATTTTGAACTGCAACAATCTGACTCTTCGACATGTCACCATCAATGCACCCGAGAACAGCTTAAACACGGATGGAATCCATATTGGGCGTTCAAATGGGATAAATATCAGCGACGCCAACATTAAAACCGGAGATGACTGTGTCTCACTTGGCGATGGCTGCCAGCAGATTAACGTGGAGAAAGTGACCTGTGGACCTGGCCATGGCATCAGCGTCGGAAGCCTAGGCAAGTACCACGATGAACAACCTGTTAACGGAGTTACTGTGAGGAATTGCACCCTCACCAGCACAATGAATGGTGTGAGGGTCAAGACATGGCCGGCTTCTCCTAGCGGTGTTGCCTCCAACATGCATTTTGAGGACATTATCATGAACAATGTTAGCACACCTATTTTGATAGATCAACAGTACTGCCCATATGGTCAATGCCAACAAAGGGTATATATATATTTCAAAAACTAGTCTAAATTATTTAATTACCTTAATTCCTTAGATACAATGTTATTCAAATTGCAATTTTCTACATTTGATCATTTATTTCATTTTGATTAATTTGATGATATATTTCTCTTGTTTTTAGGTTCCTTCGCGTGTGAGGATTAGCGGCGTTAGCTTCAAAAACATTAGAGGCACCTCTGCAACCAAACTTTCTGTCAAGCTTGTTTGCAGCAAAGGCTTTCCATGCCAAAATGTGGAATTGAGTGACATTAATTTGGAATACCATGGAAACAATGGATCTGCTATTTCTGAATGCGCCAACATTAAGCCCGTACTTTCTGGTAAGATTTTCCCGCCAATGTCCCCATAATCACTTGGAACATTGAAGGAAATGTGTGTGTGTGTGTGTGTGTGTATATATATATATATATTTATATATATATATATCTACAAGGAGAAGATCATTTATTAATTTTCATGCACCCCTTCATGCTTACAGGCATGATGAGTTTATTGGTGTAACTGTTTCTGTAAACAGTCATTTTTGTTCAAGTATTCTAATGTCCAAGCTATTAATTATTCAATAAAGATACAGATTGATCATATTATACAGTGGGAGTGTGTTAATTTATCAATTGTACGTTGTTCAAGAATATATCGTTTGTTTTTCTGGTGAACTGGAATGGTGGCAAACATGCTACAAAGACTAATCTGCCCACATTTCTCAAAAGACCTAACCTTTTTTTTTTCTTTTTCTTTTTTCTTGAAAGTTAAAGCCGCAAACACACAGCTACACAATCGATGACCTAACACCTTTATTGTCTAAAGTATATCATAATTGAAAGACTGCAGAACAAATTATGATGCGTGTCACGAATATTTAACATAACGAGATTCTATTGGATTCGTGAACCAATCAATCAAGCTACTAAGCCAACTAAGAACATCTTCATTGGCATCTTCAACATTCAACTCTTTAAATTTGTCACGTTAATATTTTTGAATAGTCATGCCAATATTTTCAAGAGCCATGCCAATATTTTGGACTCTCCAAATTTTGACTATCAAGGTCCCACTATTTTGCGCTCTTGCTCTTAAAAAATAATAAAAATAATAATTTTTTTTATTTTTAAAATATATCATTTTTATTTTTACTTTTTCCCAACCACTATATTAAACATTACAATATCCATTGTGAATTAAAAGAAATTAAGTAGTACAATTTCCATTATGGATTTATAAAAATTAAAAAAAGAATTAAATAATATAATATCCATTATGGGGGAAGCCAGAGCCAGAGCCAGAGCCAGAGCCAGAGCCAGAGCCAGAGCGTGAACATATACATTTCAATATCTCCTTTTGTGTTCAATAAGCCATGTTTTCCCTACTACTATTGACATCCATTCTTAATCTCTTTGCATGATTCCCATCTATTCAGCTCTTTCTTCATTTTAAAGATCCATTTGTGTCATCTTCTCTTTCTCTGATAAGCGTGCATCTCATGCTATTTGGGCAGACGCAAGATTTTTAGATTGAGACTAATAATGGGTTTTTGCATCTTGAAAACTATTAAAGAATAAGTTAACAATAAATTATGTAACTGGCCCAAAGATCTGTTCTTATTTTGGCTTTGCTTTTCCGCTTTTCGTCCTGGTGGTCACTGTAATGGTTGACATTCTTTAACACCGGGTGAATCATCTTTGCCGATGTTGATCCTTCAACAAAAGTTGGTGTCGTCGCTACATTACTTTATGGAATAGATGGGTTTGAGTAACCAACAGATTCATTAACATCAATGTTGATTCCACTTCTCTTCTTCAGCTGTTGTTTCTTTTTGTTTTTCCCTTTCCCTTGTTGATCGGCACAATGTGAATGCCATTTATTATTATGCTTCAAAATATTTCAACATCTATTTAACTTAAATTAGGTGCCTATGTGATTAGTGTATAGATGTTTAGCTGATATCATCTAAATGAAAAAATTAACAATAATTAGAAGGTAAATGTTTAAAATATTTATGAGTTAAATTTAACACAATAAAGAACTTGCCTTATCCTCATTGTCGTGCCCACTTATCACATTCATTTCGATCTGGGCCACACATCTAGAAAATTGATTAATTTTTTGTTGGATTGAGAAGAACACGAACAATTTTGGCATAATTGGATTTATTGGGAGTTATGATATTAATCATATTATAAATGATATTAATCATAATAGGATTTTATTTGTGAAATATGATATTGATTATATTTTAAATGATAATAATCGGTTTATATTTGTAATTTATGATATTAATCATAACGGAAAGACCTTGTGAAAAAATTAATTCAACTTATAAGTTGCTAAATGATAACTATCATTCTTATATTTATTGTGTGTTGAGAAAACCACGTGGGTGACTAATAAGCATAGTCTCACTTTTATCTAATGGCATGGTTGAGTTGTCTGGGTATGTGGTTTAAATTTCTAGGTGCGGGCTAGCTAATAAGCATAGACTCACTTATACCCTTGACATGGATGAATTGTCGAGGTGTGATTGATTTGAAGGTATGGTTGAGTTGCCTATTTATTTTATTATATAGGATGAGTTGTCTATTTATTTTATTGTCTAGGCATGGTTGAGTTGCCTATTTATTTTATGGTATAGGCATGGATGAGTTGCCTAATGATTAGGATTTGTGGCGTATATTGCCCAGTGATGTGTTACATGTATAGGAGGTTATTGCCCGGTTAGATTATAGACACTTAACCATCATGTATGAGTTCTAAGTGTCTATTCTGGTTGTGGTTACCTATACATAGTGATCATATTCTAGTGTATATATGTATGTATAACTATGTAGCTATTGGGATGGTTCTGGTTAGAGATGACTAGTTTATCGGTTCTCTAGTGGGTTTAACCCACTCTTTGTTGATATATTTTAGGTTTTTTGTCGGATTCAGCTATAGAAATAAGGATTCAGCAGATTAGAAATTTCATTTATCATTCACTCTTCTGGATTATTTTAGCATAGGAGTTTTACGTATTATTCAGACTTTAGAGTTATATGTTGGTATTATTAGATTTCGAATTTTGGTTTAGGGGTCCTCACTTTATGGGATTCCCGAGTTGTATTAATTGAAATATTAAAGGAGTTGTAAAGTTAAGGATTATTATATTTGGATTTTATTTTTTAATTGGAACTCCTTTCCGCTTTTATTTTATTTTTTTGTTATTATCATTTTGTATTTCGTGCTTGTTTATTATCAATTTTTTTTTTATATCCCCTTATTTTCGTCTGTGGGTTTGGCCAACCTACACGTGAAAATTAGTGTCTGAGAATTGAAGGCTGGAAGGGGATGTGTGTGTTGATAGAATGTAGTGGTCCCGCAAAAGTGTAGGAGCAGGTGCATGTCGTGCAACCACTCCCGGTGCATTATTACCATCAGTCATGTTTTTATTAGATGATTCTCCTAACAATTTAAAGTTCTTTTTAGAAATTCTTTGAAATTGTTTAAGAGTATTTTCAAGTTTTGGGTGAAATTCAAGAAATGGGAATAACAATGAACACCGACCTATTGATTTTTCTAAAAATAAAGAAAAAGAAATAAAATTTCAAGCAAAGAAATAAGAACGCAAAAACTCACAGAAGCTCCCGAAACCGTAGCTTCTTTCCCTTATACTCCTTTGGTCTTAAACCTAGATTCCTGCACTTGAAAATAAAAAGAAATAAGATGAGAATAAAAAAAGTCCTAAACTAAGAATCAAATTCGAACTAACCCTTAACTCAACAATTAACCGTTACACAGTCCCTGGCAACGGCGCCAAGAATTCATGTGTGTGTTATCAATGATAAAAATCACTCGCAATGGAAATAATCTTTGTAGGATAAGGCTATGGTGAGGGTGTCGAACCTCAAGGACTGTGTTGGTATTGTCAAGTATAAAATTAATCCTTATTTGATTCAAGAGAAAAATGATTTGGTGTTTTATACTTCTAAATTGCAATAAAATCGAAAATAAACTAAATTAACAAAGGATGAGATCAAAGTGAGAAGAACTTAGAGATTGACTGTACCACTAGTCTTATAACTATGGGGAAATTTACACTTATGCATATTTCGGAATCAAGTGGCTAAAAGCATACTTTAATTCAATTAAGATGGTATATATGAATAAAGACTAAGCCATAAATATGAAAAGTTACGCTCAGTTGATTTAAATTGTGATTAACTTCTTTAATGACCTATATGAGATTAATAGGTCAACTTGCCCAATTTGTGATTGATTAAATTTTCTAAGTAATATGATCAATTTAAACATTCACAATCCCAAAGATAAATATATAAAGTAACACAAGTAGAGATAGAGAGATTGCATCAGGATTTTTTAGCGAAGAAACCCCAATTGGTAAAATAGATCAATTGTTTGCGTGGGAAAAATCTCGTGGACTGTGCAGTTTAAAGTAAACCAATCCACTATATTTGAAACAAAGTACAATGGACTTTGACTCAAGCTCACACCCTATCATTCTACCAAATTAACACCAATCGCTGACAATCTTCTGGCTTTGCGACGTCCTGTCCAATAGCTTTTAACCTCAGACTTACATTGATCTCTATAGAAGGATTGTTGGTAGATCAAACAACAAACCTAGCTCGAATGCTTTGACCCTTCAAAGTGTGATGGCTTTTACCCCTTTTCTTTAATATTTGAATTTCGATGTAGAAAATTAATCCCGCTCTTTCATGTGAGATATATTTTTGTAAATTGACATATTTTGGTAACAAAACAAGTCCTAGTCGAGTTGTAATTTTAGTTACCATATCAGACTTGACATCGACTGCGGAATTTAGAGGTTGATCAAAAGAGGAAAGTACTGTTGATCATCGAAAATGAAATAACAACATCGTAGGACTTCGTTTCTCACTTAGGACACAAATACCTATATGGTATATTTTCAGAGTTCCAAAAATACAGAAAATCCAAGTTCAGGTTGGATTCTGTCAAATGGGAACCAGTACCTGCATTTGGGAACCGGTTCCAAAAGCTAAGATTCGAGAACAACTTTTTGTCCTTTAGGAACCGGTACCAAAATTGGGATGGTACCAAGATTGGGAACCGGTTCTAAAAGTTCTGATTATAACAGGTTTCCGGTTTCCTTGTTCTGTTTAATTCCTTTTTTATCCAACTTTCCTTCCAAGTCCTATGCACGAAATTTCCTTTATTTTCAGAAACAATAGGACTTTGTAAACCTCTATATAAACTATGTCATACACATAGGTTTATTCATGGCTTTACATCATTATTCATATATCATAAAAACCCTTAGGAAGTTTACCCCTCTCAGAAAATCAAAGTTAATTTTTCTGTTGTCTTCCTATAACACACACATATTCACCTAGTGAGGTTAGAGTTGTGGTGTTCAAAATCTGGTTGTGATCATACAGTTGCATCTACATCGATCAGATAAAAGCAGATTTTCTTCAACATCAAGTTCAGACGGTTGAAGAACAGAAGTAAATGCGATCACACTTTGGAAAGATTAGAGCATTCGAGGAGTGTTGTCTAATCTACCTACTATTTTTCTACAAATATCAAGCATAAACCTGAGGTAAAGTTACTGTT